AAAGGATTTGCCACAGCGCGTGCAGGCAAAAGGCTTGACGCTGGAGTGAGTCTGCACGTGTGCGCGAAGGTTGGATTTGTCGGCGAAAGCCTTCCCACACATGCTGCACCGGAAGGGCTTCTCTCCTGCAATGTAAGTTGCCTCATTGAGCACGAGAAATCATAACCGTATAAATAGATTGTTTCCAAGACAGTCGAATGTAACACGAAAATCGAGAAACTGTGACCGTCGCCTCACCTGTGTGTGTCCTGATGTGTCCCTGCAGCAGCCAGGGGCGGGAGAAGCACTTGCCGCAGGTGGGGCACTTGCAACCCTGGTTGTGGGTGCGCATGTGCTGGCTGAAGGCGGGCGTGCTCACGTACACCTTATCGCAATACGGACATTTGCGAGCTGCGCGCTTGTCGTCCGGCGAGCGGTGAGTCTGCCTGTAGGGATAGGGTGTCAAGGTGAGTGCATAGCTTCTTCGGCTGCCGTTTATTATCCATGCCATCATTACTACTACATGCTGTCTTTCTCGCTTATAAACAACGCGTCGCCACTTGATACCAGAGAGAGAAAGGCAAATAAATGACAAGACACAAAACAAAAGAGTAAAAGATGTAAAATCTAGAGTAAAACAGACACAGATCTAAAGGAGTAAATATCTGGCTGGTGACAACTTGACCACCTATTACACAACCGAGCAGATATTTTCGGAGCTATTTTAGGCCAGGTACTTGTCGCGAGCCAAATCTCTCGCGATGATTTTCTCTTTTCGTTTTTGTTAAAAGTAGCATTTGTGTTTTCAGTGTGGTCTTTAACTCTCATGAATTTAGTTTTTTTTGTTACATATACAATGACCCTCCTAAACCACGTTTCAGTGGGGACCATGTTTGTTTACCGATAGCACACCTGCCACCTACCGGTGACAACAGGAAACGCGAATAACCTCATAGTTGCCAAGTCCACATAATTTTCCTTTTCTTTTTTTTTTAATTTCTTTAGACTGAATGTATAATAGAATGTGTGTTAAATACTTTTTCATGTCGGCTGTCGAAAAAGTCAAGCGAGATCATCTTTTTTTCTTATTGGCGAGTTTCATGTCGGGTTCTTAACAAAACCATGTAGGAATTATGACGATTACTCATCAATCATTATCATCATTAATTGTTCCAAGACTGATCAAGCACCATAACAACAGGTGTTCACCTCACGAGATCCATTGTAAACAATTGGCTCATTCATAAACTAGCGAGTACTGAGTACTGACAACCTTACTGCGATGAAAGAACACGTACAGACAGCAGAAGGAATGTATCAAGTAATATAAGCTTTAAATGCGGCGGAGGAAAGGAAGGGATGATTCGCGGCCGATCTGTTGATCTTACCTGTGCCTGGCGAGGTTGGACGACGTCGAGTAAGTTCTGCCACACTCAGGACACACGTGGGCGTCCCGGACGGCAGGTGGAGGAGGGGTGGAAGGGGGCGTGGGCGCTGCGGGGGCAGGGCTTCGAGGGGGGCTGGTGCTCAGGTTGAGGGGCTGCTCCGCCTGAGGCGCGACCGTGATGATGGTGGTGTGGGCGTCCAGTTCGAGGACGGGTGTGGTTGCGTCTCTGACGGGTGTGGGCGTTGGAGCAGGCGTAGGCGTGGTGTAGCGGGCGGGAAGGTCTTCGGGTCGCAAGGCCGCCAGCCAGGGCTTGTCAGCGCACACAAGGGCGATGTCAGCGAGCAGCGTGAGGGAGTCGTGAGGCCCCGCGGGTGAGGGCGGCCAGGGGGTCTCGCCCTGCGGCGGCGACATGGGGGGCACCGTCCCCGGGACGTTGTACATCACACTCGCCTCTCCCATAC